AAATGGCCTTGACCCAATTGCAACAGAGTCCAGAAGTAGTACCAACCAACACCTAATACTCCTTGCCTCCAGGATTTCTGGTGACACGTCTCCCCAGACCTCTGGCAATGGGTCCTACTTTCTCTTCTGACTCACGAGGCTGCTCCGTGGCTGCCTCTGCACTCAGACACAGTGGTGGTGTGGAAGATGGACACAACCTTCCTAGACCACACCCTGCCTCTTAACTTCATTTCTCCACCCTGGAGAGTGAAAGGAGTTGCCGTGTAACTTAATCACTTAGCACCTCAGCATCCTGTATTCTAAGTGTAGAGCATTTTTTTCATTCGTTCATTTCCCTCTCAGCTTCCTTAGTGATGAGCTGTCTGAGGTGCAGGATCAGAGCATCAGGGAGGGGCTGACAATTTTAGCACATATTACAGAGAGCCTCTGTTGGGACCCTACACGGTCTGGGGAAGAAGGTTCTATGGAGTATCCCACAACTGGTTCTGCCCGTCCCTCTTCTTTCTGCCACCTTTTCCTTACAGAGCTCATAGTCCGGGTTGCATGAGCACCATGAAAGGAAGGCCCTTTCTCTGCCCGGTAACCTAGAGATACTTGTAACTAAGACAGGCTGCATTCCTTTGCCCTGTTCCCTTCGATTTCAAGCCCCTGTCCCATGTGTCCTAGGGGAGGTCCAATTCCACCTCCCATTGCTTACGTGCCTCTACAGTGCACTTCCTGTGCTTAGCTCCTAGCCTACAACATGCTGGTCACTTTCTTGTAAAACAGTCATTAGAGCTCTTCATCCATCTCTTAAGGGTGGATTACCTACTTTAGGTATCACTTCAGCAGCTCTTCCCAAGGAAGAACAAGGGCAGCCGTCCTTGCACAACCTGCTTTAAGATCTGCACTCAAGCTTTGGAGACATGGTGTGCATTATTAACAGCTAAACCCACTCCCCATCAGATGCTGTGCCCAGTGTCCTGCAGGGTCCTGGAAGACCTTCCTCTCCTCCGTCTACCGCCCTGCTGCAGGTTTTCCCAGCTTCTTGCTGAGCCTTAGCAATAAGTGCCGGTGACTCCCTCTCAGTTCAGCTCTGTAACAGCTGAGGGCAACTTCAGCCAGGGATGGCAGTCACTGGATGGCAGTCACAGGGATGGACAGCTGTTCCACAGATGGCTTTTTTATTTCAAACTCTTTTCCCTCCTACAGGTGATCTGATGGTCAGGACGTGACAGTAGTCTGTCTGCACTCTGTGCTTGGACGGGTTCCCGGTGATTAAGGACATAGGTCTAGATCTGTCTGGTCCAGCTGTGCCCCTTGCAGACTGTGTGCCCTTGGGGGAAACTGGGCCCTAGCACAGGGTGACCGAAGTGTGATGATGATGATGCAGTTAATTCGGTGCCTAGAACATCGTGACAATAAAAAAGCAAACATGGCAGAATTACCCGGGATCTGAGAGTCCCTGCAAGTGTCCTTACCTAGCCATGGTTTTGTGATGAAGGCCCGCTGATTGCCAACCATCACATGTCAACACCACAGTGGTCTCCTTGCCTATGGGTTCTGTTACTCCACAGTGAGGAGATGTTCGAGCACACAGGCTTTGAGTACTTGAGATCATTCTGGGCTCTGAATCCTCACTTCAGTACATGCTTGGTAGAGAGGAGCGTATCGTACATGCCAGGCTCTCTCGGGAGATGCCTCAGGAACAGACTGGGTTATCCTGAGATATCTCTGGATATCTGGACATGTTTCTTCGCAGATAGAGGGCCTAGAGACACAAAGAGTGTCAGACATGTATATACGTTCACACAAGTGCGGGCAGAGCTGGGGTTTGAACCTGAAGGCCCAGTATCCTGTCCTTAGCCTCGGCTTTACGCTTAGCCTACAAGGAAGCTGTCATGCTTCAAATGTGAATTTTTATCTCAGTAATGACCACAAAACAAAAACCTGCAAGTCTCCTTTCTAAGGGTCTCAGAAAAAAAACACCTAGATTTGCAAATGATTCCATAGATTTCTGGTTTTTCAAACAGAATTCTAGATAAGCTGGATAGAACCATGCAACATGCTGTCTTAACTTTTGGCATTATTGCAAGCTAAAATAAATCTGCCTCCGCCTTGAGTTATTATTAACATTGCCACTTTTTATTGCTGCATTAATCACAAACATACTGAGATGGATTAATGGAGTTAATTGTTTTTAGAAACTGAATTAAATGCGAGCTCTAATGCTAGGTGACTGGGCTCTGGCACCATGTGCTTCTGCCGAGGAGTGGACAGGCTGTTCCAGGGGCACCTGCAGAGATGTGATCATTTCAGATGTCACCTTGACATTCATTACCAGCTCTCTTTGTCTCCCTGGCATAGCCCTTTTCATTTGTCGTCAGTTTGTGGAACACGTCTGCGAACAGCCACTCTGAAATAGTCCAGAAACGTCATTTATCAGTAACGGTCCCTTTGCCACCGCTTCTGTAACAGAATGCCACACCTGGGCAGCTCCTGCGATAGATGTTTCTTTCTTGTGGTTCTGGAGTCTGGAAGTCCAAGATGGCAGATGGACTCACGTGACCTTTTCTCCTTGTATGTGCACTCCAATGCACAAGTTCAGTTGCGTTGGAATTCACCCTCCTTTTAACTTATAGGTTTAGAGGCCCTGATAGCAACACCATCACAATCTTAAGGCTATGGCTATTAATACTTCACCTTATGTGTTTGGTGATACAACGGCATCTTCCATCAGGTTCTGGTGGGCATGGGCAGGAAGAAGGAAGTATATTCTGAAAAGCACTTATGGAGCAGTTCTAGACTCTTTATTTTGTCTAAAATGTCCACAATTCTCAGATAGAAAACCATAACACACCACAGAATTTTGATCTAAAGTCTCCACTTCAAGTGAGGCTGGAAGTCTTAAGTTAAAATTTTGCCTACAAATATTGGCTCTTTAATTTTTCAATCTGAATCCAAAATTAGGCTAAACCCTAAGGACCAGGAACAAAGAAGGATCTGAAATTGAGCGTGAGACTTGGGCCTTAGTGGGTGGGGTGTGGGACCCCAGGTCCCAACATAAATCTGGGTGCTTAGGGGTCAGACTGTGGAGGAGGGGCCTGTCCAGCAGCACAGTGAGACAGCAAGAAGCCGGATTCTGTTAGCCCAGGCTCCAGATGGAAATAAAAGTCTGAGAATTTATGACCTTGGAATGCTTTTAGTGCCAGTTAAGTTGAAATATACATTATATGGTGTGTTTCTTGCCTTACTAGTCTATGAGAAAAATACCTGCCAGAAGCAAGGCAAAGGAGGAAAGATGAGATTTGCCTCACAGTCTCAGTCTCTTGGAGCCAGGCAGGCATGGCAGAGTTCATGGGGACGAGGGTGTGGTGTGGAGGCTTGGCAGATCAAGAAACAGTGCCCAGGACTGGAACCAGGGCTGAGTGGCAATCCTCAAAGCCACCCCCATCGCCCTTAGCTGTTTATGTCCACCAGCTAGGCACTATATCTCAAAGGTCCACAGTCTTGCTAAGCAGAGCCACCCACAAGGGCTCCAAACAGAGTAGAGTGGGACATGCCACATTGAAACCATGACATCTGCTGTTGCCCTTCCCATGCTAAGAAATCCATCGGAAGGGTTGGGTGATGGCCTGAACGGAAGCTGTTACAGCCTCTCCACGGACAGACATGGAGGCAGAAATAATTCTACTCTACTCTACTCTAAAGAAAACAGTTTATCCTGTGTCTTAGGAACAGATTTAGGAAACTGTCACAACCCCTGTGAAAGATGTACTGAGCTTTTGTAGCCACAGAAGGAAGTCACAAGTCAATACAGTCAGGAGATGCCTTGTCAGGAGTGTCAGGTCAGCTGTCCCCACATGGGAAATTTTTCCTACAGGCTTCAGATGTTACTTCATTCGTAGTTTTAGGTCCAGTGGAGCCTACTGAGCTTAGCATGAATACATTCTAGAGAGTTATCCAAGTCTTGAGAACATTAGGTTAGAGACAGAGGTTAAAAGTCGATGGCTGATAATGGCTGAATGTAACCAAGACAGTTTTAGCTCTCAGCCTGCAGGATTCCATCTATGCTCTGTCCCAGTGCTCAGCTCGGGCTAAATCAGGCATTCTCCAGGGTCTTAGGACCGATGAGCTGCCTCAAAGAACTTCAGCTCCACACTGGTGAGCATAGGGCCTGGACTTGCAAACCATGTCCTGGAACAAGGCTACTAGAAGATGACACTCAGAAGCCAAGGAGGCATGGGCGGGGAAGACTGTTCGTGGGGATGGGATTCTGCCCAGGGGGAGAAAACGCAGTCATAGCAATGTTCTCACTGCTCTGAATGTACTCGGGCTGTGTTAGACAGTCTACACAGGTGAGCTCTGTAGTACATGAAGGGTGTTTCCAAAAAGAGAACATGACACCTGCCAGCCACAGCCTTCTTAGCACAGGTTGGGAAGGGTTGTTCTAAACGGCCTTGCAGTCCATGGCTGGGATTTTGAGAAGAACCCATCTGGAGCTGGGCAAACAGCCGTGTCAGCCCAGTGCTTACTCTGAAAGCCTGAGGACTTGAGTTCAGATTGCTGGCACCCATCCAAAAGCTGGGCATGATTCATGTCTGTAACCTCAGTGCTAGGGAAATTCCCAGAACTCACTGGGAAGCCATAGCTACGTCACCATGTCCAAACTACTGTTGTTTGAAGAAGTAAGATCACTAGGCAGGGTTTAAGTGACCCGTGTTCTGTCCATATGACATACAGACCATAGAGTAGCCACTTTGTCACGTGGCCTATGTTCTGCTCACACTGATATTCTTCGTACTTGAGAGGTAATCAGAAAGGAACTCCGGAACCTTGGGAAGTCCCTAAGACATCAGAGGGCACGAGGACTGTGTCATGTCCAGTCTCCTCTATATCACACTACCCTCCTCTTGTTAATGATTGTCTCTGTTCTCGGAGTCCATTCAATACGGGCAGCCTTCCATCAGCACGGGCAGGTGCACCTCCACCCTGGTCACCCGACTTTGTTTGTGTTTCAGTGAAGGCTGGTGGAATGCGGATTGTGCAGAAACACCCACATACGGGAGACGGGAAGGAAGAGAAGGACAAAGACGAGCAAGAATGGGAAAGCACCAGGTGAGAGGCGTCCGGTGACTCCAGCAGACTGCGCGGGTGACCACTCGGTTAAACATTAATGTCTGCTCTGTGCTTCTGGCACCTCCTGGGCTTCCAGCCCGCACGCTGTGTGTTTCTCTTTCCCATCATGAGTCAGGGTTCTGTGCTAGCCAAGAGGGAGACGGTGCATCTGAAATGTACCACCTGGCTCGCCTCTCCAAGCACCCTGTCCTCTGGTGTAGTCAGAGCTGCTGAGCCCAGTGGCTGAGCAGAAGCATAGCCTCACCCTGCAGCTCTTTAGTGTGAGACTGGGGGACACACAGCTCCCACCTCTCATGCGAGGTCATGATGCTGGAACGGAGGAAACAGATTCTTGTGCTGGGTGGTTCTTTGTGCCCAGGTCTCTTTGTGCGGTCCAGAGATATGTGTACTGCCCATCTGTTGACAAGAGCTCTCCACTAGGCTGTAGCCTGACACCCCCTGGAAACTCCTGTGGCCACTCACACTAGTGGGACTTTAGCATCCTCACGGGCAGGCTAGACAACTTCTAAGTTGAGAAATGCCTGACAGGCAGATCCATAATAAGCAAGGCTACCCTCCAAGTGACCTTGCGTGTCCTTGAGTGACATCTCTGCCCTATCCATCCTGGGTCCCACATTCTGTTTGCCCCCTCTGTGCTGACCACCTGTTTCCTCGAAGGTTCTGGTCTCGAAGTTTGGTTTGAGGGCAGCATCCTTCATCATGAGTAACCCTGTCATAAGTTGTCACCACAAACACAACCGTGAATACATCCAGTATTCACGCTCTGCAGTAACGTTCCACTGCAGACAGTGTCTCCACTCAAGAAGGAAGGGGTGGGGGGCGGGGCCAGGAAAGGGGGTGGTTCAGCCCCTAGATTTTGAGGGGTGGAAAGTTCCCTGTGTGTGTATGATCAAGGACGAGACGACCCCTTGCATTTTTTTCTGACTTTCTTGTGAGAGGAAATGCAACAGCTGCAGGAGATGAGCAGCTACAGTAACAGAGGATGAGCAGGGTTGAAAGACTGGGCGTGCCCGCCTTAGAGTACAGCATCTTCTTCACCTGAAAGATTACTCAACCTCCCCCACACCTGTAGAGCCGGGGATGCTGAAGCAAGCTGACTGCAGAGTAGAGTCTGCGTAGATGCAAACAAAGATCCTCTGTAGTGCTGATGTTAGATTGCTGTGCTCCTTGTGGGTACACTGGCTTTGGCTTGGCTCTTCGCCAATGCGACTTAAACCCTGTGACCTAACAGGAGAAATCTGAACACTAAGCTGTTGGCTCGTGTTGCCACTGCAGGCATCAGTCCTGGTATCCTGTGTAACGGTGTGACTTTGACATTTCCCACCCTCCCTGTTTTGTGTTAGGTGACTGAATTAACTATAGTTGGCATAGTCAGTAATGATCATGGCTGTTGCTTCTTTCTGAGATTTTGAAAATACTTTTTATTGCTTCTCTGTGTGTGCACCCATATGCCACTGTCCACCTGTGGAGGCTAGAAGACAACCTTCAGGAATTGTAGATCCTAGGAATTGAACTTGGGTCATCAGGTTTGGCAGCAAGTGCCTTTATCCACTGAGACATCTTGCTGGCCCTACTTTTTGATTCTTTCTGGTTTTGGTTTTGGTTTTTGAGACAGCCCAGGCAGGTCTCAGACTCACAATCCTGCTCCTGTCTCTTGAGTGTTGCACGTACAGGGGTGTGCCACCACACCAGCTAATCATGGCTGCTCTGTGGTGTGTAAGGAGCCTGCTTGATCGGAACTGCATCTACTTTAATACACAGGACTCTTGCCACTCTGTCATTTCCATTCCATGGTTATCTATTGTCCCCTCCTTAGCTCTCCAGAGGGTACACCCTGCTTCCATGGGCTCTTAGCAGATGTGTGTCAGAGTGCAGGAAGCTGGCTCCCTTTTTCTCAGGGTGTGTCTCCAGGCTGTGCTGACCAGTTCAGCTCCTGTCTGCAGACGGACACTTACTAATTCCCATCAACGTTGACACCAACTATGCCCACTGTGTAGATGAAGGAAGCAAGGCTTAGGCAGGTCGTTCAGTCCATTGATACTTAACCAGTCAGTGTCTTGGCCGAATTGCAGCTCAAGAAGCCCAAGAGCCCCTCATCAGCACAGACTGCAATCTGGATCCTTCTCTTCCTAAGATGAATTAATTCTGAAAGTCCATACTTCTCGACCCCATTGTCCTCCATTACTTCTGCACCTTCACTGTATAAAAATGGGAAGTTGTCAGCTTTCAGCAGGGCTGGCATTGCTTTATACATGGAAAGGCCTGTTTGTTTGCAGAGTGTATAGAATATGTAGTCATCCTCCTGGGAATAGCATTGGGTGTGCAGTTTGAGCATACTTATTCTCACAGTCCTAAGCTTTTACTCTGGGTATGAAAATATGCATGCCATCTATGTCACAAGCCAGTTTCCTCCTCAGATCCAGTTCTGGTGGCTTCCTCCTTCCTCTTGAGGACAGAGCAGCAATTACAGAGAAAATGAATGTTCTGAACCCCAAGGAGGTCATTTTGTGACCCAAAGAATCCCATAATCTTCCCTGGCAATTATTTCCTCATATAAGCTTATGCAGCCCTTAATCTTTAATTTTCCAGGGTTTAAAAAAAAGCCTTATGCTGCCAGGCTGTTTTGAGATATTACATTTAAGGGGAAGGAAAGACTATATCAAAGTCATGAAAATCGGGGCTGGAGGGATGTCTCAGTAGTCAAGAGCACTGGCTGCTCTTGCAGAGGAACCATATCCGATTCCCAGTACCCAGATGGAGCCTCAAACCATCTATGACTCCAGCAAGGTATGCAGTGGCTCTTCTGGCCTCTACAAGCACCACACACATGTAGTACAAATATATACATGCAGAGAAAATGCTCAGCCCCAGGAACATTTGGTATATATACAGACATACAGACAAAATGCTCATACTCCTGAAATAATGAAAAGTAAAAAATAGAACTTTGAAACTATTCTAAGACACCCCCCCTCTGTGTGTGTGTGTGTGTGTGTGTGTGTGTGTGTGTGTGTGTGTGTGTGTGTGTGTGTGCGCGCGCGCGTGCTCCCGCTCCTGGTATTTTCTCTGTACTCATCCCTCTCCGACCCCCTCACTCCAAGTGCTCTTGCTATTCTCTCTGCACTCGCTTATCAAGCTGGGAAATGCCTAACCATTCCTCTCCTGAGGACCAAGCCTTGGTTTGTAGCGCTTGCTGTTTTTGTGTGCTAAATACTCCCACAACAGCCTATTTTAAATCGAAACATGGTATCACTAGCACAGACTTGTGAACAGGGACCTCTAGCCAGCATTCACATCAGAGCTAGCTCCAGCATGCCAGGGACTACAGTGCCCTTGTACATAGTTGGGTTTGTTGTTTATAGCCCATCGTCTTGAAAGAGACTAAAGATATGAAATGCCTTATGATCTGCTGTAGATGTTCACATATTTATTCTGTCTGGTGCCCTCTATAGGGAAGGTGTGTAGCTTGGAAATGGCTTAAGTTTGCCCCTCAGACACTCATGTGTTGAAATTCACCCCCCGCTGTGAGGCGCTGAGAGGTGGAAGGATCAGACTAGCAGACTTTAAGTCATAGCCTGGACCCCATGACCGAATTCCAGTAACTTTATATAAGACAAGATGTGGGGGCACAGGAGAGTGATGCATGTGCAGTACCCCCAAGTTTCCCTGCACCCCCTTGGAACTGTTACCACACGCAGCCTCTGGCCTTGGACTAGACATGAGCTGGGGTCAGACTCTTTTCTTTAAAATTGGATGACTATCTTAAAGTGACAGAAAATGGACTGTTGGCAGAGTGTCTCTTGGGGATGAATTCTTTTCATCTATTGTCTGTCTGAAAATGTATTTGTTCTGCTTTAACTTTGAAAAGATGGTATGTTCGTTAGCCTCCGTGTCACTATGACAGAACACATGACATCAACAACTTAAAAGGAGATGTGTGCTGCTGTGCTGGCGGAGGGTTTGTGTGTGCCCATTCAGCTCTGCACTGGGGAGTCTGTGCTGCGGAGTCTGGGCTGGGGAGTCTGGGCTGGCGGGGCGGAGTCTGCGCTGGCGGGGCGGAGTCTGTGCTGGTGGGGCGGAGTCTAGGCTGGTGGGGCGGAGTCTGCGCTGGTGGGATGGAGTCTGCAATGGTGGCCGGTCTTCTCAGGATGCACAGGAAGTGAAGGGGGCTGTGGACATGGCAACGGTGTCATCCATGTGCTGGGTTTGCAGGTTTTCTCTCTGTGTCTCATGGCTACAGTGATATAGATCCTTCTGTTCCTCCATGCCCTCTCCTCCATGATGGACTGAACTTTCAAAACTGCACCAAAATCAATCTTTTTTTCAGTTGTTTCTGGTAAGCGTTTGGTCATGTGATAAAGCCAGGCCGACAACCGGAACTATCGGTGGGGGTCATTGCTGTGATGGCCTGGCTGTGTGAACCAACAGGAGTGTGGAATTGCAGAACCGAGACATAGCTGTGGAGGACACAGGGTCCTGGGGCCTTACATAGGAACAGGTGGTCTCCTGAGTGCCCCATCCTAACCCCCCCCCAGAGAAGCTGGATCTCCCCAGGTCTGTGGCAGTGTTCACAGCTGCTCAGCTTCCAGGTGGCACTGGCGGTGTCCAGCCTGAAAGAAGCAGCTTCCCCACATCTAGCAGTGTCTGAGTTGAGAGATCTAATTGCACTTTAAAGGAAATGCTCTATAAAGAAGCAGGCAGGACCCAGTCTCGGTCCTTCTAGAAGGGGGAATGAAGGAACCAGACCCTCACCCAGCTCCCTGCTTTGGCAGCCATGACAAGCTGCAGAAAAGACCCAGGCAGATGTAGCCTCTGACTCAGCATGTGTTGCTGAGTTCCTGGCCTTCTGACCTTGCTGGAGCTGCTCCAGTCACTAGGAGGTCAGATACCCTCCATGGCAAGGAACCAATCAGAAGTTAGCTGGCGGGCTCTGGACATGCTTCATGGTAACATGTGATGTCCCATGGCTTGTAGATGTG